TGTGAAATAAAGAAGTTATCTCTGGAACAGAGCTCGTTTTATAAGTAACTTTTAAATTAATTTACCCTACATTTACAGCATTAAGCAGTTTTACTGTCAACTGCCAAAAATAACTTATCTTCAATCTTTTTTTTTCCTCATTTTTTTTCTTTTCCTGGAAACAGTCACTTACCATCTCATTTTTACTGCCTGTGTCTTTCTCCTCCTTCTGCATGGGCTTTTCTAGGACAGGCATTCTTGCATTTCTTTTGATATTTTTTGTTGAGGACAGAAATTGAAGCCACTTGGGGGCACTTACAGAGCCTCACGCCTCAGTTCTGGAAAAAGAAAAGATTTAAAATCCAGTCAGTCCCCATTATTTATAATCAAAATGTACTTGGGGAATATTCCCTGTGCAAGCATACACAGAAGCTTCCAAATGCAAAGCTGAAGAGAAATAGAAGTATTGCTTTCAAAACTACTGAACTAAGCCCTGTGGAGGTTACTCTGACATTCTATTTGTCTTATTTTGCTATAAATTTCTTTATCCAGAACTATCTAATGCTCATCAATGTTCCCTTCTCAACATGGCTTATTTTGTCACTCTAATTTACTTTGCAATGTATCTTGCTGTGCTCTGCACATGGGTTTGTCCCGTCCATTAGCTGGAGGAAGGAGGTGACTTTCCTTTGGATGTCGTTAGGTCAACACAGGTCATAGCAAGGCTGCAATTATCTGTCTAAGGTCCTTATATACCCACCCTTTACCACTGAGAGCACCAGTTTTTAAATGCATCTATCACTGCACAGCTGCACATAACGGCGACAGGGAAACGCCGCTACCTGTGCTGTAAGGGTGCGGGGCGAGGGGAAGGAGGCTCAGTGCAGACGAGCCTCCCCCACGCATAAGGGGCTCAAGGGCGCGCGTGGCCCTGGGAGCTGGGCGGGAGCTGTGCTCCTTGGACCTCGGCGCAATGGGAGAGCCGTGAGTCTGGGACCGAGCAAATCCTTCTGCTTGTCCCTGGCAGGTATTGCGCTTATCCTTCTTTTTGCCTCTGTAGATACTTTAGTCCTTTTTTGTGCCATAAGAAGCTGCACTGGCACATGCATTTCTTCCAGTATGGTAATGCCCATGCTAAGAAATTGTTCCTCAGTTACGGTGGTACAGTTAATGCTGAATAGCTTCTATTCATGCAGACAGATTTTTTTTAATTACTTTGCACTGCAGATGTGCAAAATACAAAAGTAAATGTCTGTTGACTAAGTAGAAAAGAATGTTATATTTCTTTTTTGAAACTCTTGGGACTATAAAGGCAGGGCACTTGAATTATTTCTGCAGTGCTTTTAAGAACAATTTATATGAAAATGCAGAGTGTATGGAAGTGAGGCGAACAGTTCTGGTTAGAGAGGAGGGTTGTACATTATTCCCTTCTCAAGGAGCCGCCTGGGCTATTTCAGTCTTTCAGATTCAGCACTGCGAAGAGGTACACGGCCACCGATCATCCTGTGTAGTTCCTGTCCTGTTCCTGTCCTGATTTGGCTGCCAGTGGTGCCATGTGTTGGAAGTAGATTGTATAAAGTTAAAAGATGTCCCCGGGGCACTGCAGTGAGCCACATACTAAATTAGTGTTGATCTGTCATCTGTTCAGGATTTTGACACAGGTGAGGGACTATTTCCCTTGCTGAAAGGCCACGTTAACCCGCTGCGTTGCTCAGCTCCCTCTTGTGTACCATGCAAATCTCATCACATATCAGTGAGTTCCTAACAAGACACACTCAAAACGTGAGTGTTGTGAGTGTGTGAGTTCCTAACAACACACAAAATATTTCAAATAATGGGCATGTCCTGTAACTCCTAGAAGACTGTGGCTTGCCAAGTTGTTGAGGCGCTAGCCTCAGCTCCTGTTTTGGAATGCAAAGCAACCATTTGTCTTCAGAGTCCCTGAAGCCTTTTCCCCTAAAGTAATGATCTTGCTTGGTAATATTTTTACTGAGGCTTTTGTCCATTCCTTATTTCTTATTTCCTTATCCTTATTTCCTTCATTCCTTCTTTCTTTCTTTACATTTTTGGTCACGCTGCAATACTTATCATATTAACCCGAAGTCCATATTTGATTCTGTTTTCCTGGGTAGTGTTATTGATAACAGCCCTGTGTGGCTGTATCATAGCAGTACAAAGAGAGTTTGGTGGCAGTGTCAGCCTAAACTCCGCTTCTTTCTGTCAGGGGATGAGCTGAAGCTTTGTCTGTGGTTCAAGCGCTGCCAGCTTAGTGACATGCCCAATCCTAAATTTGCCTAATACCGGACAGGGAAAAAGCTGACACAAGAGAAAATCCTGGAGGAATTCAAGATGACTTCAAAGTTGCTCACTCAGATAGCTGTGAGGTGTATTGTCAGAGTTATTAGGGCAAAAAAAAATAATCCTAGCCGCTTTTCTTTGGAGCGGGCTTAGCGGGAGGGCTGCGGGGAGCAGCTCAGCGGATGCTGCGCGTCGCTGCAGTGAGGGAGCTGCGGCCATGCGCAGCTCAGGGCGGCAGCACAAGGGACCGAGCCCCCGCACAGGCAGCAGAGGGGCTCACAGAGCCGCCCGCACGTGGGGCCCTGAGCCCTCCGTGCCTTGCAGTCTATCCTGTCATGCAGCATTACTCCCACCGTCCCTCTATCCGTTCTCCGTCTCGCTAGTCTCGGAAAAACAGCCTTAAAGTTGCGAGGAGGGCGTGCGTGAAGTGCGCGCTGCTGCGCGCTGTGGCGCTACCTCCGCCCGCACCCGCTCCCGCGGCCTGACCCGCTGCCGGGACAGCCCTTCCGCGCACCGGCC